CTGAGGGAGTGCCGCACTGTCGGAGGGTCAGTGCTGAGGGAGTGCCGCACTGTCGGAGGGTCAGTGCTGAGTGCCAGCACTAGGTGATGTTCAGAGGAGACATTAAACCGAAGTCACATTTTACTGTTTGTAAAGAACTTTGCCACTGTATTGTAGAAATGTTGTTGAGCTTTTGCCAGTATCTTTTCCAATAGTTATCCTTGGACCTATAGTATGACAACAATATTGTGACTGTTGTCACACAGGTGTCTGTGTTATCTGGCTTTGGGAAGATTTGCTGTTTTGTTTCCCGTGTAAGATCAGTGACAGTGCTTCAAAAGAAACCAATTGGTTTGAGATATCCTGAGGTTACTGAGGATAAATGAAAATCTTTTCTTTTTCTGACTGTCAGTAAACACAATCTGGCTTTCTCAAAGGGACAATGTTGAACCAGTCCAGCATTGCATGGTCATTTTCTTGGTGTCAAAGACTCACTGCATTTATTTGAACATTTTTCCGAAGTAGAGTTCCAGGATTTGAAATCAGAGCTTGCCAACTGTTGCAGGTGAAAACGAGAGCTGATTTTGGGAAAATTTCAAAAGGGAGGTCTTGATTTATTCATAATTGCAATGAGTTACTCACTCACTCACAATGACATTGAGGAACAGAGTTTTGGCACAGATTGGAGTTTTGTTCAGGCCTTGTTCATGGTACCCTGTCGTTGGGCTCTCATGGCTTCAGTGGTAGTGTCCCTGCCTCTAGGCCAGAGGGTCCGAGTTTAAGTCCCAACTGCTCTTGCGATGTCTTGTAACATGTACTCTGTAAAAGTTCACTCATTTACAGCCCCGCCCCGTGCTACGGCAATGCAGGTAAAAGCTTCACACCTGCAGGAAAACAACCAATACTCTTACCCAACTGAAAAAACAATCAATACTCTTACCCAATTGGCTCCCTCTTAGTGAAGGTTAAGTTATGATTGGGCCGAGCTTGGTTAATGGGGATAGTGCAGCCCTGGACAGAGAGAGAGAGATGGACAGCGTTAATAATAAAACAAACTAGTTCCCCCACAAACTAGTTCAGGCAGTCATGTGTGCAGCTCTGTGCAACCATATGGCCGAGTGCAGGCATACAGAGTGTGTGCAGCTACACAGGTGTGCACAGGTATACAAGCATGTGCAGGTATACAGGGCGTGCGCGCAGGTATACGGGGCGTGCGCACAGGTATACAGGGCGTGCGTGCAGGTATACAGGGTGTGCACACAGGTATACAGGGTGTATGCGCAGGTGTACAGGCCTGTGCGCGGGTATACGGGGCGTGCGCGCAGGTATACAGGGCGTGTGCGCAGGTATACAGGATGTGCGTGCAGGTATACAGACAGGGCGTGCGCGCAGGTATACAGGGCGTGTGCGCAGGTATACGGGGCGTGCGCGCAGATATACGGGGCGTGCACGCAGGTATATGGGCGCGTGCGCAGGTATACAGGGCGTGTGCGCAGGTACACAGGGCGTGCGCGCAGGTATACAGGGCGTGTGCGCAGGTATACAGGGTGTGTGCGCAGG